GCTACGCGATCGAAATGATCATTAGTTGAATTAAAATATTGATACCTGACAATATCTCTATTTATTTTTCAAAATAAAAAAGGTATCTACTTCACCAACAATCCAATTAATAAGGTATTTATGTGAGTAGGTTCTCCATTACTAAGAACAATTGTCTCTTTAGTTCATAAAATATTTCCTCTAGAATAATACTTCTGTTTTCAGTTTTATTGAATCTCCAGATGGCTAATGGCTGATGTTATGGATGTTGAAATCCCCCATATTGAGAAATGTATTTTGCATCTTGTTAGTAATATCAGTAACTTCTTGTTCAGGAATCTTGAAGTTATTTGGTCGGTAGATATTACATACATTAATTTGAACATGTGACAAGATCCTTATATAATTAACTTCAATGTTTGACTGAATAATCACTTCTAGATATGGTCTTTGATAAATATAGCTACCTCATCACTGGCATGAATGGTGTTAGATCTGCTTTTGAAGAAGCAATTATACCCTTAGTTATTGCCATACTTGCAGTCTTTGACATTGGTCTCTTGAATACAAAGGATGTCAGAGTGAATTAGGTTACACATGTACTGTATATTGTCTAGTCTGGAGTAAAAGACATTTATATTCTACTGAAGAATTTTCATTGACTGGCGTTGATTTCTGTATTGGAGTCTGTTTCAGTGCTTGATTCATCTGCAGTATGAAGTACTGAGTTGATTTTCTAGATAATCCTGGTGAATCTGTCTTTTATAGTTTTGTTGGTGTGGATAAAAACTATGCATAATTTTGGTGATGGATGATATGTCTTTGAGTAGTCAGTAGTTATAAATTGTAGATCATTACCACTAAAGGAGATCTCTAAAAATGATGTAAATTCTAGTAAGTAGGGGGGTAGTTAGTTTGAGTGTCTTCAATGAGGTTTTTGATGTGGGTTATCAACCCTTCCATATATTTTCGCTTTCTTGTTTTTTCGGTTGTTTTGAAAGTTTTTCCATATTATTTGTCTCAGTTGAATTGCTTACAGACTTGGACGATGAGGAAGAGTCATTTTGGAGGTATATTTAATTGGTATTAAGGGAGTCTATGTTGTCGTTATTTGAGTTTTCTCCATTGTTTTTAGCTTCATTGGTAGAAAATGCAGATTTAGAAGGTGGTGAGGGATCAGTTGTGAGTATTTTTGTAAGGTTATAGTGACTTTGTATACCTGCTGCTTCAGAGATTTTTTTTCCATTGATTGGATCTAGCAAGACAGGATTTTTTCCTAATATGTTCATATTCCATGGGAGCACTACTTAAATTGGTAGTCTTATGTTGAATAGAAGTGTTATGTGAAGGGCATTGTCCAGATAAGTGCCTGTTTGGTGCCAATTAAAGCAAGACATTTCATTAGTTGTAAAAATTATCCTAAATTGTGAGACATAATAATCCACAGTAGTAGGGGAAACAGTAGTAGGGGAAAAGAAAGGGGAAACATACACTTACCTGCAAAAACTCATAATGTGGGAGAACCCCTGTCCAGGAATATCAGCTTTGACAAATGATATTTTAGATACTAATTTGATATTGTATGGGGTGAGTACATTATCTATTACTGAGTGAGGGATGATGGGGCAAACGTTAGATATGTGTACGTAAGCTTCCGCGGCTCGAATCCATGAATTCTCGGCTATCCGGGAGACGCCGCGTCGTTGGCTGGGGTGCTGACGTTTCGCCTGACATTTCGCAGGCTTCGTCACTGCCCTGAGGAAGCCTGCGAAATGTCAGGCGAAACGTCGGCACCCCAGCCAACGACGCGGCGTCTCCCGGATAGCTGAGAATTCAAACGTTAGATATAATTATTATTTTGACCTTTGTTAAAAGTGGTCTTAACTTCAGTTGATAGAAACTTCAGCTTTAAAAGATACACACTCTGTTGTTTGTAATTCTTGAAATGAACCTTATTTCACTGTCGTCAATAATGTCGGGTAGACTGTTTATGTAATCTTTGATAGTGAGACCTTCTCACGAGTCGATAATTATAACCTAGTCCTTGGTGAGAAACATTTCAGTTGACATGACATTTGCGTACGTGTTGAGATTTGAGTGAGTAGATACCTGAGGTGGCGGTGTTGAGGTTATGGGAGCCCCGTAGTCCCAGGGCTCCATCCTTAAGCAGGGTAGCCGCTGCACCGGCTGACCATACATTTGATTTCAGACACTCACAACTCATGAAAGAAGATAATTACCACTAAGTAAATGTCACTAAGTTCACTGCCTGAATGACAATATGATAACAATCGGTTTCTTTGGACGCGATCGGAGCACAATGTGTCTCGGTCGGCTGCTTCAATGGAACTCGAACACTAACGATCTTCTGGTGAAGATGTAAACTTTCTCTAAAAGACAAAATAAGAAATAATGAAATAAGAAATACAATTAATATGCAAACAACTTTGAACAAGACGATCGAAATGAAATAACTAAAATGACAAGGGCATGTAAGAGGGTTGAAATCAGAGAGACTTCCACAAAAAGTTTGCGATTAGATATTCAGTCGAAGAAGATAAAGGTTAGGATGGAGAAGGTCACGGAATAACTGGCTATTAGTGAATCCATAAAAAAGAGAAAAAGAGGAAAAAGACGTATGAGGTAAAGATTCATGGGAATTGGGATGTGGAAAACGGCCATGGCTATAAAAAGCAACTAAGTGGATAGAAATATGAAGTATTTCATTTCATAAACAACTTTTTGGATCTAAATGTATATAATTTTAGATTTTCATAATTACTAGGTTTTTGAAACTGTATGAGACTTTTCTTCTTTAAAACCATAACTACTTTAAGTCTTTTAATTATCAAGCATTTTCTTGTTACTCTCCGAGCTTATTATTGAAGTATTGGTAATTGTATTAAAGTATTGGAGATTTGTATGACAGCATTGGTAAATTATATTAAAGTATTAAAAGTTTACATTTAGGCATTATAAATATACAAACAAAATCTCAGGCATTGTAGTACATGTAATTGTAATTACCTAGAATTACTCAAACAAAATCTTTCATTAACAGGAAAAATGTACATGTATTACCTCTTATGACAGGTTATTGCATGAGAAAATGATTGATGAAACTGTGTAACAATAGGGTGATGAGTAAATGAACCCGAAATCCTTTAATTACTTTGTAACGAATAACACTAGAGAAATATCGTGTCAACAATGAAATCTATCCAGTGTTTTTCCTCAATTCCAAATCTTTCATGAATGTTGTGATTGATCACATCCACATGCTTTCTTTAAATTGTGTTGCCTTTTAAATTAACAATTCAAATTGAAAGAATGGACATTTGACAAAAGGCACTTTAAACTATATTATATTTCCAATCTACTTCAATATTTGTAAGTAAAAGGAATTACGATTCGTATAATGAAAACATTAATGTTTAAGGTTTCTTGGATAATATTTTAATATCAAAATGTTACCATTCATGTAAATTTGAAACCCTTGCATTGTGTTTCGTCCAAAAACTTAGGTCCTACACTGTGTTACTGTTTACGTGAACATTATTGCACATTTCCCTCGTTTAAGTATCAATACCAATTACATGAAATACTACATATATAGAAACATTTTGAGAGCTTGAAATATATCTTCCTATGAAACATTCATTGGGATAATCCTCAATATGCCGAGAGCATGTGGATGAAGCTGAATGCGAAGCATGTGAGCACTGAGAGCGGGGAGCGCTGCGGAGTGATGCACGTGCTCATTGGTGCCGGGCTGCTGCGCGGCATGCGTGTTGCAGGGGCCTTCCGGCTGTATGACGTGGACAACGACGGCTACATCACACGCGATGAGATGTACAACATCGTCGACGCCATTTATCAGATGGTGGTGAGTACGCACGTCGCGCCGCCCAGGCGTTTTCATATGCGTAAGTCCCCAACGCGAACACTTTCTTTGACACTCAGAAGTAAGTATATCGGTGACTGCGCAATTGATGATTGTTTCCAATTATTAATTTCAACTTCTAATGGCTCTTGTGTGTGCATTCTTGTGACAATTTCATATTTCCATATTCTCCAAATGACATGTAATTTACTAATTCTTTTATTGATGGGGAAAAAAATACAAAAATAAATCCTTTTTCTATGCGGGGAAATATCCAACCTTCCATTTCCTTAATTTAATTTTTAAATATTTTCAGGAAAGAAACCCGCGTCCGCAATTTAATATATAAAATTGATGTATTGCTTTTGTTATCATTCTTATAATTATTTCCATCAAATTATCAATTAGTAATATTTGTCTTCAGTTACTCACAGAATTTTTTATGTTGTTTTTGTTCCATTATAAACTATATGTCGTTTTATTCTCCCTGTATTAATCTCAGAAAGCAATGCTATCTCTACTTCTTTAATTATCTTTTTAACTTTAGTGAATTTAATGTTTGTAAAATGTGGAAAGTAATAATTATTTCATCTCTTGCCTCAAAACGTACTCTTATATGAAGAATCGGGATGAAGTAGATATTTTTTCGATGGTCTTTATCAGTTTGTCGAGAGAAGCAGTATCGTTCACACCAAGACCCGCAGCTCTAAAGTTAACATCGCAGAGGTCATTTTGCTAGTGCTAAGATGAGCTAAGATGATTTTGCGAGTGCAGTGAATCGATGATGAGTCATTTAGTTCATTTACGAAGCGCTAAATACAGCATCCAATAAGTGCGATCAGTTAGTAATTAAAAGTGTATGCTCAGCCAGAGCATTGCCCAGTGGACAAGGAAGTGTTCAACGGGCTTAGTCTACCGACTTCCACGCTATCGCAATGGAACCATGTTCAGACTTAACAGCAGAAGCAATTAAAAGTGCCCTAGAAACGTTAAACAATTTAAAAGAAGCTGTAAACTCATATATTGAGAAGGCCAAGCGCATCCCATCCGTTCAGAAACAATTAGAACTTCAAGAACAACAAAAATATCAACTTCAGGTAAAGCAACAATGCTAATTGATGCTAGAGCAACAAACACTGTGTATACAACAGCTTCATGAGCAGCGCTTAATAATTACGCACCTGCAACAATATCAATATTTTCAACATGTTCCGCAGAATCATTATACCTCACTACCACAGATACGTAGTCAACCCCTTCAACAAAACGTAAGTAGAGAATCAAATATTACGGAAAAGAACTTCCAAAAGACAAAGATTTTCCTGATATGTATGGCGTTCCAGTGTCACATAGATTCGAAATCTGTACGGAAGATGAACCCCCAAAAGAATGAGACAATAATGTTTAATTAGTGAAAATCCCACCCACACATGTATAAGGTAAAAACTATAAAGTAATATTAGATTATATCACGTCAGAAGCCAAAAATAACTTTACTACCAGAACACAACATAATGGTATCGAGGTTTTCTTCACGGAAATAGAGGACTTCAGAAACTGTAAGAAATTTTCTGAAAACAAAAGTAGTCATTTTATTCATATAGGGACCCCCTGCAAAGATATTTACAGTTATGTTAAAGGTAATACCAAAATCTCTAACAGAAAGTGAAATATGCGAAAAAATTAAAAGCATTAACTACCCAGTAATTAAAGAATGTGGGTTTAATAATAAACAAAGACAGCCAATACAAACATGTGCTGTGGACTTATCAAAGACTGAAGAAACAAAATCTATCTATAAAGTAAACATATTTATGAATTGTGATCTGGGCTGTCCAGGTGACGCCGCGTCGATGGCTGATGTGCCGACGTTTCGACCGCGGAAGCCTACGACAAAATTTATGAATTGTATAATTCACGTACAATCTAGGATTAAACGTAATTGACCTATGCAATGTCATGTCAGTCTTTCGGACATTCTCATGTAACTTCGTTCGTTGCGATGGACATCATCACTACTCTAAATGTACTGCACCGAAGAATTCCACACCAACTTGTAATTGTGGCGTCGCGCCACCGTACATTATTGAACTGCATTGTGTTCCCAGAGGTTCGCCAGTCACGGTCAGCATTTATTTAAGATAAAAATCTCAGTAAACCACAACAGACAATTGGGAATCCTGAGCAACCTCCCTTAACGTCCATTAATGTAAATAATCAATATTTATTTCGTCTCCCACAACGCCAGCCATTACCTTAGCAAACAGCGCGGTTACCATCAAGCTCACAACCTCAAATTGACGTAGTTCAACTCGTAAATACAATAGGAAACCAAGTTCTCGCAGCACTATTACCCCAAATTCAAAACAGAGTACAGTCGCTAAATTCCTCAACATAGCAAATAAAATCCAAGAACAATAAATATTAAACTGGAATACCGTCAAAAGACAGAAACATTATTTGAACATCTCATGCGTCACCCTAAAATGCACATTGCTTGTGTTGCACAAATACACTTTGTGCTAAATAAAAACTTTAAAGTACTAAGATATAAAATATAGTTTTTGTTGTTAGCCAACGCCCACCCCTGGCATGTAAGCCATTTGGTGATGCGTCGACCAGTATAGACGTGCAGACTTTCCCTTCAGCTTGTAGGGATCCGCACGGTCAATCCACATGGTCACAATGTCGATCCACAATGGTCAAGCGCGTAGGTGGCGAACCACTGTTGCTCATTTAGCGTTACCCAGGGGACACGTGGGGTAGACCACGCACGCGAGCAACTTTGTCCCCGCTGTGAATAATTATCATTATTAATGTTATTATTATTATTATTATTATTATTATTGTCATTATTATTATTATTGGATTAGAAAATGATCGGATATTGGTGAAAGTTGATCGTGACCTTTTTGAACCATCCCAGCATTCGCCTTTATGACCGAGGGAAACCCCGAAAACCCCGGTCAGGATGGCCGGCCCGGGAATCGAACCCGGACCTCCCGAATGCGAAGTCAGCGCGCACTGGGCCTCTTCGCTCGGTATATAAAATATAGTAGAACCTCAGAAGTTTCTTCAGGAGGTGTAGCCATAATAGCATCCATCAATTCATAGCCAAAACTACCCAGAAGTGAAAACAATAGCAATATATATATATATATATCCTCATCAGTTGTCTGATACAAGAAGAAAAACACAAAAAACAAAAAACATTAAACTCGTAATTAACAACAAGATTATTATAAAGGTTACAATAATTTACAAATTTTTTGGAAAATATATTTGACAACGGGAGAAAGAAAAAGTGTGTGTGTGTGGGGGGGTTAAGCCATTAATACTAAAGAAAGCGAATGAAAATATAAATAGGACACGTAAAAATCATTTTTATACAGAAAAAACATAGAAATGTAAGTTGAGCCGTTCCTTACCTGCTAGATGGAAGCCACAAAACGACTACGCGGGGTCGGCGAGCCGAGGGGCTTAAGTACCCGGCCGTGGGGTGGAGGAGGGCAATGGCCTGGGTGCGGTGCGCTGTCACCGTGCCGCCCCGCAGGGTGTGGTGTGGGAGTGGTGTCTAGTAGTAATTTTAGTAAAGGAGAAGACTATTGTTTATGTTTTCATTTAATAAAAGTTATTATTAAATGAATGTGTAGGTTTTTCTAAAGGTAGTCTGGTGTGGTAGTGGTTTTCTATTTCAGTATACAAACTGTCTGTGTGTGTATTGAATGTATGGCCTGTCTGGAGTAAATGATTGGCAAGTGAGATTTACAGGTGTTGTGTTTCCGAAGCATGTATGTGTTCCTTGATCTGGTATTGAAAGCTTCTGCCTGTCTTGACCAATATATTTAGCACGTTCGCAGTCGTGGCAATGTAGAAAATAGACGCCGCTTTTTTCGTTAGAAGATCTGTGTGTTTTTTTGGGGACAGCATTTTTTGAGGAATTCTGTGATTTGAATGGAAACTTTTTATACCTGCTTTGTGAAATATTGTGTGCGACTTTTTCTGGAAAGGGGTCCAAAATTTAAGGGTAAGAAGTGTACTTGATCCGGTTGTTTTTGTTATAGGAGAAAGTGTTAGTGTACATTTTTTTGTTTTGGTTTGACTATTTTTGCGTCAGCGTAGTATGTTTTGTTAATGAGTTCTGTACTGTAACCCGTTAGACATAGGCAATGTGTTGTTAGTAGGTGTGCAGTTTCTTCCAGAAAAAGAGATTTTGTCAGGCGGGGAGGGCTCCGAGTAATCTGTGTATATCATTAGGGGAAGGCCAGAATGGTTTATTTTTGAATAGGATGTGTGCTGAAAAGGAGGGTTTTGGATTGACATGTCTTGGTTGGTATGTCGCGGTTTTCTGGGGTGAAAAAAAAAATGGTTTAAATCCTTCTTCTTTTTTTTTTTTCC